TCCTCTGATGCTGCCTGGCCTGCTGTGTTCCTCCAGCTCCACACCGTGTTATTAAATCCCCAATTGTTTTGCAACATGCAGTGTGCATATGAACATAACAATCAGAAGCAGAAGTTGGCCTTTTGGTCCCACAAGCCTACTCCAGCATTTGATACGCTCCTGGGTAATCTGATTATGATCAGGGTGTCTACTTCCCGGTCTATCCCCTGTATCATTCAACTCTCTTGTCAGTCAAGAAGTTGGTCTTAAAATTATTCACTGATCCTGCCTCCAATATTCTAGGGAAAAAAATTCCACCCGCTAAGAAAAATTTTCTCCTTACCTCCATCTTCAATGGGAACCCCCTTACTTTTAAGCTGTATCCTCAAGTTCCAGTGAGCCTGTTAGTCTTATCAACCAGTACTATTCCATTGATTTGATGGTTTCCTCTATGGGTGAAAGTTGTCTTTCACATTTAAATACGTAAAAAAAAATTGTGGTTTTGGTTTGTAGGTACCTTCAAAGCATTACTTGCTGCTTCTCGTTCATTTACCAATTCAAAGCCTATCATCAACAGCCCCTCTAAAACTGTTTTTTTTTGTTCAACCTTTTTTGAAGTTAGTCTTCCACTTGGATAAGTAAAGATATTTTTACAAAAATCATCTTGTATTCATTACACTTAATTTTCAACTCGCTCACTATCCATTTTACAAAATAAAAACTTTCCTCACTCCAGTCATGACTGAACAGGTTAGAACCTTTCATGATGGTATCCATGACAAGGTAACATGAAGATTATGTCGCAGTGGGAAGAAGATTGTAGACACAATGGGGTTGGACTTTCCTTTCTTGCACCTTCTAGAAACAAGATAGGGTCACTGACAGAGAACACCTACATTTTTCTAGAAGGCACTTAACTTGATATACAGGGCCAGTATCCATCTGAATTTTTGTTCCCAATTGGCAGACCACATCTTGGTGGGAACGAAATGCCATTTTGGTGCAGCAGTTAAAAGACAGCAGACATTTAAATGGGCCAGAGGGACTTGAAATTAAAGAAGACCAAAAGAGAAACAAAGTATCTAAAATGATAGAAGCAACAACAATTATTCAGCTATGTCAAGAGTTTTTATATTGCCATATCACTCTTGGTTCCACTGAAGTAAAAATTACCTTTGTTAAAAACATTTTAGTTCCAATAACTGTACTATTGGAATAATACAACACCCAATATGCATATAGCACGGCCCAGCAGGCATAAATGAAGTGAATGACCCATTACATTTTGTGGTAAAGCTGCAGAAAGCAGAATCATGGTAACCATGTGATAAGGAGCAGATTGACCGTACAAAAAATCAGTGTTTCATCAAAAATTCCAACCATATCGCTTTTAAAGGTGTAAGTTTTGAAAATTACTTCAGTAACTCTGAACAAAATAATTCATGAAACCTTACAATGTTATTCACAAAAATATAAACGTGACCTTTCTATAACTGACAGCATTGTAACAGGGTAAGGTCCAAAAAACAAAACGAAGTGTCATTAGAAGTCAGGTGTAAAGTTTAAATAAAAGTGAATATATGAATTTACCTGATTAATGAAGTCATCGTAGCATATGATGGGACCATTGTGAAATACAGGGTAGTAAAATACATATGCCAACAGCCAGCAGAAGGATACACCAAGTCTTCGAGGTCCATCATAGTACCAGCAGTACTCTAAACTGAAACTTGTGTAACGAAGATTGCAAACAGCCAAGCAGAATAAAAGCAGGAAGTATTCGTTCTCTGTCTCATACCAGCGTTTCTAAAATAAATAAGTATTTTCTTGACATCAAGAGAAAAAAATAAATACATAATCTTAAAAATTAACATTGAACTGAAAGAGGTTACACAAATAAACAATAAAAGAGCTTAACCAATCATTCTGACATTAAATACTCATGTTCTTTTTAAATGAACATCAAAGGGTTTACAACATAATAGTAAGGTTACTGCATTAATAATCCAGAGTCACAGACTACCATTCTGGAGACAAGAGTTCAAATTCCCACGATTTGGGGATGAGGATCTAAATATAATTAGTAAATCTGGAACGTTATTCTCATTAAAAAGGATCGCAAAACTACCAAACTGTTCTAAAAGCCGAACTGGTCTACTAACATCCTTCAAGGAAGGAAATCTGCCACCCTCACCCCGTCTGGCCTACATAAGTCCAAAACCATAGTAATGTGGTAGACGGTTCAGCGCCCTGTGAAATGGCATAGCAAGACATTCGGTTGTAGTAAGTCATTACAGAAAAAATGACTGTGTATGTAACCCAAACACATGGATTGAGGCAGTTCACTATCTCTCCAAAGCCAATTATGGACTGACAATAAATTGGCTCAACTGGTTGGATAGCTAATTTGCAATGCACAGTGATGCCAACAACATGGATCTAGTTACCACATCAACTGAAGTCAACATGAAGGACTCTCCTTTCCAATCTCTCCCCTTGCCTGAGGCATGCAGACCCTCAGGTTAAACTACCACCAGTCATTTCTCTCTAATGAGATACCAACCCTGTTGTCCAGTGGGACTACAGCGACTTTACTTATATAATGCCATTATTGAAATAGTTAATCTGAAAGCAGAAACATAGAAACTATGAAGCACATGTAATTCAGCAAAAAAGAAAGCATACCAAACTATTTATGAATTGTCAAACAATATAACATAAGGCAGCATGATAAAACCAACATGATTATAGAAATGTGGGATATGAAAGATAAATTTTGCACTGAAACTGGTTTGAGTGTAAAATCACTATAAAAATTCCTATTTAATTTACGTACTTCCAAACTGGATGTAGATCTCCAAAATAGGATTTAGGGATGGAAGTGGCAATCGGATCCAACTTGTCTACAGAAATATCAGTAGCTCAAGGCTGAATTTTTTTTTTGGTTAAGTGAGAGCTGCATCAAGGTTTTTGCAGAGATATTTGATGCAAGACCTGACAAGATTTCTCACAGTATCTTACCAAATTCATCTCATTAACTAGATACTCACCTCATGATGTCCCTCACATTCTATTCTAGACCTATTGTACCATGTTCTCAGAGCAACTCACCAATCACCATATATCAGTCAAATGACTGGCATCCGATGTGCCTGCACAGTAAAGACTGTTGTACACTCAAACGAACATTGGAACTCTAGCATTGTCACTCATCAGCATCATAATGGTGCAGCAGCCATGAAGTCATGCCTGCTCATGGCACATACAATATTTCCACTATAACGTGTGTTTCATTAACACAAATTGGCTTTAATATGATTGATGAATAGTGGACACCGTCTGGATAATGCAAACTTTCTACTGTACAGTATAGCAATTTTCTATAGCGATTTCCTATAGTCAACTCAACTATCGCGTTATAGGAGAAATACCTGTTGAACGAGGGAGTAGCACCTGGCAAACATTCCTTCAACTGAGTTGCTGCTTAAACACTACGTCCACACAGTTTATCTGTCCTTAGCTACACTTCTTCTAAACACCCTCTCTAGGTCACTGGTGCTCTGTCCTCAGTGCCCACTGTAGATCCATGTCTTCACACTGCCCTGAACAGAGAAATCTCATACAGGCAAGCAATCGGACAATTCTACACATCAGCTATTATTTGCAGCCAGCAAAAACGAACACAAACAAAAAGGAACAGAGGCTGAAGATAACCCACACAATACAAACCAAATGCTGGCATCATGACCAACTGCTATTCGACATTCCACGATGGTTGGCTGCAGCTAGCTCTCATCCACAAGAACCAGGTGTCAATCCAGTCCTGTCTGCCTTGTAGCACTTAGTACATCTGAGCTCTGTCATGTACAAGGACAGTTTCCACCTTTGCAATGATTTCCTCCTCCTTCAAAGACTGCTCCCCCCTTCCAATTCCTCAGCATCCAGCACATCACCTTGTTACCTGGTTCAACAGCATGATAGAATGGCACACTGCCCAGATAATACTAGATGGACCCCCAGATTGGTTCAAGCAGTGGAACAGCATTTGCACAAGGTGGTGTATAGAGAACTTTATACATATTGCAATTTCTGTCAGTCCAAATTGAAATGTATTTTGTAATTATCAAGTTCGTTACAATTATATTGAGTGGAACATGCAGGATGTGGACAAGTTGAACTTTTTGGCAATATTGTAATTTCCAAATTGAAAAGTTTTGTAATTTTTGGAAAGAAAGATGTGATTCTAAAACATATGGAAGAATTGCTTACTCTTGTTGACTTTAAAATGTTTTAGGTGCTAATTAAATGAAAGTACAGAATTACTGCATTAGTACAGAAATGGTATTAAAGAAATTGATGGGATTGAAAACTGATTAATCCCCAGGGCCTGACAATCTACATTCCTGAGCACTTAAGGAACTGGCTATACAAATAGTGGATGCATTGGTGGTCACCATCCAAGAATCTTTAGATTCTGGAACAGTTCCTACAAATTGGAGGATTACAAATTACATAATGTAACTGCAACATTTTAAAAACGGAGGCAGAGAGAAAACAGGGAATTACAGACCAGCGAGTCTAACATTGATACTGGGGAAGCTGCTAGTGTCCATTATCAAGGATAGCAGATCACTCAGAAAACAGTGGTAGAATCAGACACAGTCAGCATGGATTTCAAATGGGAAATCATGCTTGACAAATCTACTGGAATTATTGATCAGTGGTTTATTTGGACCTTCAGAAAGCTTTTGACAAAGTTCTACGTAAGAGATTAGGGTGCAAAATTAAAGCACATGGGATTGGGGGTAGTGTGTTGAGATGGCTAACAAATTGGTCAACAGAAAGGAAAGAAAGAGTAGCAAGAAATGGGTCTTTTTCCAGTCCCTAATGGGGTACCGCATGAATCAGTAGTAGGACCCCAGCTATCCACAATGTATGTTAATGACTTAGATGAGGGAACTAAATGTAATATCTCAAATTTGCAGATAACACAAAATTGGATGGGAGGGTGAGCTGTGAGGAGCATGCAGAAATATTGCAGTGTGATTTGGACAGGCTGAGTGGGTAAGAAAATGCATGGCACCTGCAGTATAATGTGTGTAAATGTGAGATTATTCACTTTGGTAACGAAAATAGGAAGGCAGATTATTATTTCTAATGGCTATAAATTGCAAGATGGGAATGTTCAACGAGATCTGTGAATCCTCATGCACAAGTCTCTGAAATTAAGCACTCAGGTGCAGCACGCAGTAAAGAAGGCAAACTATATGTTGGCCATCAGAGCAAGTGGATTCAAGTACAGGAATAAGGATGTCTTGATGAAGGGGCTAGGCCCAAAACGTCGACTCTCCTACTTCTCTGATGCTGCCTGACCTGCTGTGTTCCTCCAGCTCCACACTGTATCAAAAAGGATGTCTTTCTGCAATTATACAAGGCACTGGTGTGCAGTTTTGGTTTGCTTATCTGAGGAAGGATGTTCTTGTTGTAGAGGGAGTGCAATGAAGGATGTGAAACTGATTCCTGGATGACAGGACTTACGTATGAGGAATGACTGAATCGGTTAGGATTGTATTCACTGCAGGTTAGAAGAATGAGGGGTGGATCTCATAGCAACCAATAAAATTCCAATAGACAGGTTAGATGTAGGAAGGATGTTCCCAATGGTGGGGGAATCCAGAACAAGGGGTCACAGTTTAAGGATAAGGGGTAAAGCTTTTAGAACGTTTCTTCACCCAGAGAGCCTGTGGAATTCACTACCACAGAAATTGGGTGAGGCCAAAACATTGTGTTTTCAAGAAAGAGGTAGATTAAGCTCCTGTGGCTAAAGAGATCAAGTGATATGGTGGGAGGGGGGGAATCAGTCATGATCATATTGAATGGCAGAGCAGTCGAGAGGTCAAATTGCCTACTCCTGTTCCTACCTTCTATGTTTCTCAGTTTAAGAAATGAAATTCTCCTGCATATTGTGTCAAACAAAAACTACTGAAATATCACAAAGTTTTTCTCTTAATTTCCCAATCATTGCAGCATTGTTACCATGTGTCTTTTTTCAGTTTTACAAAATTTAGTAAACAAGCGAAACAATTTCTTCTCACTTATGATCCAGCAGTGCATTCATCCCCCACAAATTACTGGTGAAAGAAATCTATCTCCACCTAGTGGTCTAAACAAGAACTGGCAAAACCTGTCAAATGCCTTCAATTAACCTCACTCATCAATTTTACTGAATTCCAATTTGCAACACAGAAAGTGACAATACCTTCGAAGAAAATTATTGCTGCAAACTTATGGACTCAATTACATTTCCAAGGCTCTGCCAGTAGCTCAAAGTTTTACAGGCAAAGGAAGTGGGGCTACACATGCCCCTATTTCCAAACAGCTCATTTTTGATATGAAAATGAAGCCAATAAATTTCAATTAATTTGCTTTGCAGAAGGTAGTCCCTTGTGAGGAATTGATAGTCCTTCAACCGTGGATTATAGACCATCCAAAGTCTGTTGCTTGCCCATTTTACATGTCAGAGCAAAATTGCGAAGTGAATGTCATGTTCATCACAGATGGTTTCTTTTCTGCTCCATCTTACACTATGCATTAGTTGCATTGCCAACTTACACTTTTATCTTTGCTACCAATATGATATTTTGTTCTTAATTGGCACAAGCATTTAAATGGCACCGTGTAAACTGCTAAATGTGAGCTGTAGACCCCATCAAGACAACAAACAAGGAACTCACTTTTCATATTCATTCATGGGATGTAGGCTTCACTCGCATCTATTGCCCAGCTTTAATTGCCCAGAGAGCATTAAGAGTCCAACCACATTGCAAGAGATCTGGAGTCACATGTAGGCCAGACCAGATAAGGATAAAAGTTTCCATCCCTAAGGGACATTAGTGAACCAGATGGACTTTTCATGGTCAGCATCAGAATCTTAATTCCAGATTTTTACCGAATCCAAATTCTTCGGGCTGCCATTTGCGGGATTCAATCCCCAAAACATTACCTGGGTCTCTGGATTAATAGTCTAGTGATAATACCACTAGGCCACCTTCTATCTTGATTGGTCCATAGATTGTTAGTTGCCTAAGTCAGCTCAGAGGGTTCTGAATCTTTGGAATTCTCCAGATCAGAGGACCATAGAAGCTCAATCATTGTACTTGTTCAAGACAGAAATCGATAGTGAAGAATGAAATGAAAGGCTACAAGGCTAGTAGAGGAGAAAGATGGTAGATGATCAGCCATGATCTTTTTAAACAACAGGATTGGCCAAATGGGTCAAATGACCTCCTTCTCCTAGTTCTTATGTCCCTATGTTCCTATCTCATTACAACATGAGGCACATCAGGCTATCTGTTTTTATCCCATTGTATGGATCATAGTTTACTTCATTAGTGTTCGACTTCAAAAATCTAGCTGGTGAAGGATAGTACTGGAGACAATCTTTATTCTGTTTTACGTTTACTTACAGAGTGAAATATTAAAGCCTACCTCTCCTAATTTAACCACATCGTACCTTAAGTATATCTTTATACGAGATCATATGAAAGCATGAATATCCACACCTCCCTCACATGCACTTATTTAAACAATCATACCATTAACCATATGACATGCAATGAATGAGAAAGGAACTTGTCAGCTTCTCCACGGTGTAACAATTTCTGACCAGGAAATTTAAAATGCTAAATCCCTTCACTGTTAAATTAATTTTTCAGATGGCAAAATAAATTATTCAATAGAAACAAAAATATACATAACTTTTAAATAGAGAAATTTCACATATATAAAATTAGTTTTCAGAGCCAGTGGGGGTGTTTAATAGTAGGTATGAAGTTAGAGAGCTGTTAAAAACCAAGTTACACTCATTCAACAAGGTGCAACATTTGCGAACACTTGTTAAGTTTTCATTAACGCATTGATTCTGGAATTGAACTTTCAGGGAACTTCAATAGTCCACTCTCTGAAGGAGCATATAGTCATTGACAGTACCTTCTGCAACCTTGCCTTTTCTGCAGACTTTAGCAGTTGCTGTCAGTATCGGTGGATCAACAGTGGCAACTGCTGACAATTTCAGTGTTTTTTCCATCACAAAGTCCAAGACATCAACTGTCCAAAATTATAGTGCATCCAACCAAATACAATAACAATGTATCTATTTAACACCTTTAACACAATGAAATGTCTCAAGGAGATTTACAGGAACATTATAAATCAAAGTATGACACTGATCCACATGAGGAAATATTAGTCAGATGACAAAACCTTAGTCAAGCAGGTATGTTTTAATAAGTGTCTTAGAGGGATATGAGATAAGGGGAATTCTGAACCTTTGAGCCTAGAAAATGAAGGTAGTCAACAATACTTATTTTTAATCATTTTGGCATCACTGGCTAGGCTAGTATTTGTTGCCCACCCCTAATTGTCCACAGGGCAGTAAAGAGCCAATCACATTGTCTAGAATTACATGCAGGTAAGGATGGCAGATTCCCATCTCTAAGGGACATTATTGAACCAAATGGGTTTCCTGCAACAATTGACAATGGTTACATGGTCACTATTAGGCTTTAATCCCAGATTTTTAGTGAATTCAAATTTCACCATTTGTCAAGGTGGGATTTGGACTCATGTCCATGGAAAATTAGCCAGGGGCTCTGGATTACTAACCCAATGACAATACCACTACATCACAACCTTCCCTAAAGCAATTACAATTGAGAATGCACAAGAGGTAGAGGAGAGTACCGAGATAGAGGAGGGGACAGTAATAGAAGGAGATGGACAAAAGGATGGGAATTTTAAAATCAAGATGGCACTTCACTAGGAGCCAACATAGGTAAGTGAGTGAAGGAATAATGGGGTGACAGTACTTGCTGCACAGTGAGATACTGACAAACAAATAGTGGATGACCTCAAGTTTACAAAGTGTAGAATGTGGGAAACCAGACAGGAGTCTGTTGGAATAGTTGGGTCCATAGGCAACATAGGCAGGCTTACGCATTTAAGCAGCAGGTGAGTTGAGTCAGGGGTAAAACTGAGTGATGTTAAGGAGGTGGAAACAAATGGTCTTATTATTGATGTAATTGTAATGTCGGCTCAGGCATAAACATGACACCGAGGTTGCAGACAGATTAATTTAATCTCAGACTGTTCCCGGAGAGCGGGATGAAATCAGTAGCTTGGAAAAGGAGTTTGGACTGGGGATTGAAAACAATGGCATCACCTAACAGTGACAACTCCCTCATGAGCAGACAGTCTATACTGTGGATATTATCAAATGGCAGCCCTTCAAGATAGAAATTGATCACTTCTTTAATTCGTTTCAGTTTTTTGTAGAATGTTATATAATCTATAACACAAGAATAGGCCATTTGACACAATAGGTTTATAAAGTATTAATATAACAACTAGATGAATGACTATTAGCTTTCTGAACAAGGGAAAGCACTGCATTATTTATCTAACAGGCTATTAAAGTGGTTAATATTTTCAGGAAAAAAGCCAACAATTCACTTATAATTAGAAAACAAACATAAAAATAAATGCAAGCTACATTTATTTCAACTCAAGATTCTTGACAGCCATTCGCTGGTTTATTTGTCAGGACAATGCCTTAACCAAAGTCAATCTGTCTTGTTTAAAATTTAAACAAAGGCTTGAAATTAACTGTCAGTCAATGAACAGCTGCATTCTCCATGGCAATGTTTCTACTAGTCAGATCTCTATATAGCAACCAATCGGCACTCTCCACTCATACAGTACAAATGTTGTTTTTCCCCTTACTATTTCTTGCACATCGTCTTGACACATGCACCAAAGAGCTTTAAGAAAATGTCTTTTTTCAGCAATACTCAAATCTCATTTTTAGATTGATAATTCCACACTCTTTGTTTTTATTTGAAGTATGATACCTATTGTCTGGAATATAAAATAAATATTTTAAGCATAACTTAATGTCATTATGAATAATTACAACTGACAGGACTGAGTATATTCAGTTAACCAGATATTCAACCTACTAATCACCCCTTCTAATTCATTCCATTGTTTTCTACCATGTGGTGTGATTTCCATTCTTTCTATGCATACCTGTAACTCTCACAAGTAATGTTTGTCTGTTGCTATACAAATAAATTATGCATATTCATACAAGTAATATAGCTTATCAGAACAATGTTCAATTAGTGCTTGAATAATTATTCCCTTGATACCCTTGATTTCTAAGTTATAGCACATTTCTGAAATCATTATAAAAGCTAAGGTTAGAGTTCTTCTATACATTGGGAATTATATTCTTACCTGAATTTTTCCAAGAGAGTCCATTTGTAAGCTGTACAGTAGTAATATTGAACACAGCCAAGATAATACAGGCACTTGGAGCTGGGCCACCGCATAGGAGATGGACACATGCAATAATATTACTACCAGGCCTTTGAAGCCCACTGTAAGGAAGCAGGCCAACATCCCATACACCATCAGCAACCACATCCTAAACTAAAGAAAAAATCCTTATGTCACCATGTAAAACAGAAACAAAACAAAGAAGTTTAAATTTTCTTCATTACAGGTCTTCTGTTCCTTGGTACAAACAAGATTCATTCTTGTACAGCTAAAAGTCAACTAGCATTGATATTATCTTGTTCAGATTTATTTGAATATCACAGCATGAACTGAAAACGTAAATGAACACCAGGTGCTGCCAGCTTTTAATGTAAAGTATGATGAATTACTTAAGAAACAAAAACAGAAAATGTTGGAAAAGCCCCCTAGGTCAGCTGAGCATCAGCATGAGTAAATCATCAGCATCTGTGGAAAGTTAACATTTCAAGTCAACGACTTGTTATCAGTACTGTTATAACGAAAGGTCAATTGACCTGAATCATTATCTCCTTGCCAGCATTTTCTGTTATAGATTTTTAATATCCACAGCAATTTTACTTTTGGAATTTTAGGATAATAAACAGATTAGAATACAAAAAAAGTACATGAGGGTTTTATTCCACTTTACTCCAAATGTGATCCATTTTGGAATTCATAAGAATTCATAAATGTTGGGATTATCATACAGTCAAGATATAACTCACTCCCTGGTTTTTAGTTTTCTAACCAAGTCTATGTAATACAATTCTCTCATGGGTAGGACAGTCTATACTGTGGTTATTGTAAATGACGGCCTTTCCACATAGAATTAAATCTGTCCAATTCTTTTCAGTTTTACACAGATTACCACATAATCTACAACACACAGAAAGGCCATTCATTCTAATAAGTCTAGCAAGTGTTAATGAATAAATGAATAGTAAATGATTTATTTATTGTCACATATATTTTGAAGATACAGTGGGAAGTGTTTTGTCGCCACAATCAGGCACCATTCTGAAGTACAATAAGAATAAAAAAATGATTCAATAAGTGTTCAGCTTCTGTTTAAACTGGGGTCTCAAGCACAGTTTCAGGGTTCCTGCAATGTTTCTGGATGGTGTTCTGGTACTCAAGGAGTCCTGCTCTGGGAACAGCAACACCAATGCCGATGCCCCAGGAGACATTGGCTCTGCTACTGCTGCCACCTTGCCAAAAACGCCAAGCGTCCAGCCTCTGGGTTATAGCTGCCAGGAGTCCAAGATCCCAACCTATCACCGCCAGGAGTCCAAGATCCCAAACTAACACCACCAGGAGTCCAAGATCCCAGCCTACCACCGCCAGGAGTTCAAGATCCCAGCCTACAACTGCTGGGAGTCCAGGATCCAGGCACTGCCATCACTGTCATGAGTCCCGGTCCATGCTGCCTGAAGCTGCAGCCACTGCCCTGCCAATATTTTCTTTCTGTCTTCACCTTCAAGAACAAAGACAAAAAGTACGCAGAGAAAACAATGCCACCGGCCCCCCTGGAGCGGACAGGCTTCGACAAGTCCAAACACTACCTACCATGCCAACGCCATCTTGAAATGGTCTGCACGTATCTGCACCCACTCTAATAAATTTATTTCCTCACATTACATATAACACATTTAAAGCATAACTTAATGCAAAAGCATTGCATAACCATCACCTGTTGGTATTACTATACTAATATTTGAAATACACTTTTGTTATATATGTTTTATTGTATATGCCCATCATTACTCGTGAGCATGCCTCATTACAGATCCCATTTCTGTTTAGCCTAGACCTTTCATTGAATCCTTGCAGTGCAGAAAACAGCCCATTCGGCGCAGAGTCTACACTGACCCTCTGAAGAGCACCCCACCCAGACCCAAGCCCCTACCCTATCCCTGCATTTCCCATGGCCAACCACCCAGACCACACATCCCCAGACACTATGGGTAATTTAGCATGGCCAATCCACCTAAACTGCACACTTTTGGACTGTGGGAGGAAACCAGAGTACCCAGAGGAAACCCACGCAGACATGGGGAGAATGTGCAAACTCCACACAGACAGTCAAATTTTCAAACTCTTTCAGTTTCCAAATATCCAGAGAATATTCCACATGGAAAAACACACTTGTAATTCACCAAGTATTTGGCAATAGAAACAAAACGTTGCGTACTTATTTACATAACAAAAATTTACTTTACGTTTGGAAGGATGGAAACTTCTGTTGTTTGCAATATGACCCTCCTGCCCCACGTGGATATTCTGTAAAGTAAATGGTGTTTACATTGATTCTAGTTTTAACGGAAAGTACAAACCTTTGGAAAAAAGGCTATGGTCACTTGTGATACAATTATATGACCAAGCAAAGTCCACAACAGCAACTTCTTTGTCCACTCTGTCCAAAAGCTCCATTCAAAATCTGTTGGGTCCTGAAAAATGTTGCAAGGGTTAGTTATCTAAAAATAACTCAAAACATAAAAATGCTGTCCAAAGGAATTGTTCCTTTTCTTCTATGGAATTCCAAATAGAACATCAGGATTAATATCAAAGCTAAGCCAGATTCTGCCCACATCCAATTTACTAATTTAAATACACATTTCCAGAAAGAATTCCAGGATACTAACAATGAAAAAATTGACCAATTATACTTTTTCACCTCCCAGGCCAGGAAGCAAATGGTCAATTGCACATTGTACACTGGCACTAATAAGCAGCTGTGGTTTTTGTTCTCACTCGGTTCAAGTATATATCTGACGTGTATGATTGTTTAAAATCCTTTTCCATTCTATCGAAAGCATGTTCAGGCTTTGCCCACAGAGAAAAATATTTTGAAATGTTTAAGTTCATAATAGAGGTCCTACCTCTGGCATGAGTCCACTCTGTTCAGGACCACACCATGTACTTGCAAGTTAACATGCTTATAAGACAAATTAGTTAAGTCCTTTAGGTCAGAAAGGTGAGGAGGGCAAGGAAAGAAGATTCAGGTATGGAGTAAAGCCAAAATGCAACAAACTAAAAGAAAAGACTTTCATTTACAAAGCACTATTAACAACCTACGGGTGTGCAAAATCCTCTATAGTCAATGAAGTGCTTTTGTAGTACAAGGTAAAGCTACCATAGCCCTACCAGGCCATAGGGCTGTTCTCTCACTAGAGAGAGAGAGAGAGAGACACCCAGTGGTGGTATAACCCAAAGCCACCACAGCTCACTTGAGGGGAGAGGTTGAGGAGAGTCCTTCATGGTAAACTCATCTGGTGTGGGAATTGAACTCTCACACTCTGCACTGCAAACCGGTCATCCAGCCAAGTGAGCTAACCTACCCCCTTTTTGAAGTATAGTCACCATTGCAAGTCCCTTTTGTTTTGCAATGGTATGACTGGGCAAAATTTGTTTGAAGTCTTAACCTTAAAATAAGCTATCATTTCCACAGAACAAATCCAGACATTTGGATTCAAATATCTCTCAATTTTGTGATAAGAGCTTTTGAAAATCCTATACATTGCTTAAAATAATACCTAGATAGCACATTCTATATTACTCACAAATTAAACCACCATAATTAATCACTGAAGACTAAATTACCTTCTTAAAACCCCAAATAAAGAATCCTTCTTCAAATTCAAATTCAGCATCAAGTTCTTCTTCATAATCTGTCAGAAATGAAAAACACAGATTATAGCAACATACTTCAGATCAACTGTGAAAAATTCATCTGAAATCAAAAGCAAATTGGGATTAGTGTTCTGCTGCACTGTTTGGCATTGCAGTACAGTCAGAATTGCTGAAATGCACAGAAATAAATAATTAAGCACATCAGTTCACCATAAAATGTTATATTACTATGGATGCAGTACTTGATCTAATTCTGATTAACAAACAGATCAATCAAGTGACCTTAATGTAGCACACCTGGAAGGTGAAGGATCATTTAAGGATTTTGTAAAGATGATAAAGTTGTTCCAGTTGAAGATATACTAATCTCCAGTACAAACCTGCAGGACGTACTGACATTCCATTGTGCTGTAAAACCTAAGCATTTATATTTTAATAACTAGAACTTCATATATTATTTCATTTCATGTTTTATGATCTCAACATCCACTGGACTTCCAAAGTTCAATTTGAACTGCAAGGACTAATAGATATTTTCATTTTTAGTCAGTTTAGTAAAGTCAAAGACATTTTGCAGTCATCTGTGAATGGATTCTCTGTTCAACTTTCTAATAGCTATAAAGCAATGCTTCTTTTCAGGCATCTTAAGTAAAGACTTGTTCTAATCCAGCAATAGATTCAGTGCAGCATCCTCTACTGTGCACGAATGGCATGTGTTAACAGGGCAAGGAGAAGCGAGGCTTGTCAACCAGATTGAACAATCCTCAATGAGATAACACAGTATGGAGCTGGAGGAACACAGCAGGCCAGGCAACAGAGGAACAGAAAAGTTGACGTTTCAGGTCAGGACCCTTCTTCAGAAGATCCTTCTGAAGGGTCAACGTTCCTGCTCCTCTGATGCTGCCTGGCCTTCTGTGTTCTTCTAGTTCCACACTGTGTTATCTCTGACTCCAGAATCTGCAATTCTTACCATCTCTGAGTGAGTTATAATCCTCAATGAGACATTGGTCTTAAATAGATTAAAACTGGGCATGCAGAGTCTAACCAGGAACTAATAAGGAGTAAATATAAATTGCATCTAAGTCATGTATCGAAAGCAAAATAAAGACAGAAAAAGGAGGAAGAGACATACAACGGCATTACCATTGCCGAATACCCAAAAATCAACATCACCAGGGATACCACTGATCAGAAACTAAACTGGATTAGTCACATAAATACTGTGGCTGCAGGAAACAGTCGGAGGCTAGGGATCTTTCAGTAAAAAACTAACCTCCTGACTTGCCAAAGCCTGTCCATCATCTGTAAGGCACAAATTAGGATGGCGTACTCCCCACTTGCCTAGATGAATGCAGTTCCTACAATAGTCAAGAAGATTGCCAACATGCAAGACAAAGCAGTCCAGTCAATTGGCACCATCTACACAAACATTCACTCCATTCACCACCAATACACAGCTGCAGCAATGCATACTATTATAAGATGTACTGTAGAAATTCAGCACAATTTCTTAGATAGCATTTTCCAATTTCATGACCACTAACATCTCAGAGGACAGAGCCAGTAGATAGGTAATAACACGTCCACCTGCAAGTTCTTCTCCAAGCCACTCACCACCCTGGCTTGGAAATATATCATTGTTCTTATACTGTCACTGGGTTAAAAATCCTGGATCCCTTCCCGAACAGTATTGTGTGTGCAACTACACCAAATGCACTGCAGCGATTCAAGAAGGCAGATCACCACCACAGTGTTCCCTCTAATTTTTTTGGTGCCTGTGCAGCACCCAGAGTAGTCCAAGCAGCATATTGCATCCACTCAGCAGAAATCATATTGCAACTTTTAATAATTAGTAACCAAACCCTGAAAAAAGTTGCATTTATATTATTTTACAACTACAGGCATTCTACATGCTTTAATAAACAAAATTGTGCTCGGCTTAGAAGTCTGGGGACCCATTTAGTGCTGGTGCTTTGTACGCCACATGCACTACGTGACCAAAAGAAGACACTAGCAATTATTCACTCCTTTGTTGCCAGCTTTTCTATCTTTATTTACTGCCCAATGATTATATACTGCATTCAGGTTGATATTTTGTCCAGATGAAATGTACAATTTAATTTGCATTGAGTTGTCCAAGTAATCTTATTCTAATCTCTTTCTGAACTTGCACTTAATCAAGTTCATGAGGCTAAATCCACGCTCACGGATGCACTTGATGTCTGAAATGTTGCTCAAATGTCCAGAAGAATGGACATTTCTAGAAACTAAGAGATAGTAGGAACTGCAGATGCTGGAGAATCCGAGACAACAAGGTGCAGGGCTGGATGAACACAGCAGGCCAAGCAGCATCATAGGAGCAGAGAGGCTGACGTTTCGGGCCTAGACCCTTCTTACGGCATAGTCCACCAAATCACAATGTCTGAATGGCATGCATTTTGATTTTTTCTACAACCATAAATTTGAAGTCCAAGTTTTGGCATATCTTTGTAGCTAAACTTTTGTCATAGCTGAGTATAAAAGTGAAATATTTTGATATCAGTCACTCAATACTTTCTTTTCCAAATTCTAAATTGGTTGTCTTGGCATTTGCAGCCTGATTAAATTCCTCTTTTGGAAATCTGCTTTCCAGGTGCTCACGCAGCAGTTGGATAAATGGAAGGATTACATCACTATCGAGAGCAGCCAGGACCTTCTTAACTTCATCACTCCTATAAATACATTCACCTAGATAGTGAGTGAGTCTTCATGTTATTGATCTTGGCCTTTGCAAATCGCATAGCTTCAAATGTTGTCAAACAGCTTCTCTGCAAAAATAGTACAGTGACACCAGTTCATAGAGAACATCATTCAGAGCTGTCAGTGCAATGCAATATTGTGATATTGTGAGCATTCTGAGGCAATATTTGTTTATTGGATCGATTCACTTATTCACGTGCTCTCTGCAGTATTCGATTGAGGCATTGTAGTTTTGCATTAGTGCACTCACTGCAAAGTGTTTCCTTTTTATCTTTCTCTTAAAAAAAAAATTCATTCAGGGACGTGGGCCCTCCTGGATGGGCCAGCATTTATTGCCTACCCATTATTGCCCTCAAGAAGTTAGAAGCACATTCTTCAGGGAATTAATAGATAGGCAATAAACATCAGCCCAACCAGGAAAGCCCAGATTCCCTGAATGATTTTTTATATAAAGGATAAAGAGAAAAAGGAGAAAAAGAAATGAAAAAAAAGAGTAAAAGAGGCAGAAAAACCAATTTCCAAAGTATAACCTGAAAGAATGAGAATTGACACTCAAATTTAAATTTCAGGACCACAGACGTTGCTTGACGTAACTATTACCTGTAGCATGAAAAATTAATTTACTTCTAAATATACCAGCCCAAACCTTTTCTGCCATCTCCAAGGGCACACATGTGGCCAATTACCCCAGGTTTAAGCCATTCAATTGATTCACATATGGTTCAATTTGAATTGTAAAATTCATAAAGTATAAAGAATGTATTCCTTAAGTAAGAAAATGTTAATTTTTGACATTGTGAACTGAAATACGCAAAAGACAACTCAAAACAAATTAAAAAGAACACTGAAGAAAAACGACCATGGTTTCCACAATATGCCATATCAGTTTTATCACTACATGCTTCAAAATATGCAAATCTAATAAAAATATGGGAAATCTATTGAACTATCCATCTGATGAAGTTAAAGTTAAAATACCAAAATTTCACAAGAATTGTGATTCCAATCTAATGTAGCAATTTGCATTTATATAACACCTCTACAGAAGCTGGTGCAACTTTGTGGATTTTAATTACACAGCAGGCTGTTTGCCAAACAGCTGCTCCTGATCACTGCCATTGCTCCTAAAGAATCGGGTTAAATATTTTGACAATCACATCAATATTAACAGTACAGGCAATACTAAGGCTAAATGTTCCATTCATTTCTTTCTACCTTAAATTCATCAGAATTTTCAAAACTATTTTCCCCAAACCTTTCAATGGATCAATGGTAAGCAAGTCTTGTGAATCTCAATCAGCATTGCTTTTTAAATTTCAGTCTTTTCCACTAAAGTTAGCAAAAAATTTGGGCTAAATCTTGTGGTTTTTGGTTAAGTTTAAGTCACATCAAGTTTCATGAGTGATCCTTGCTGAAAAGCCAAGCAAGTTTTCTTGCCATACTTTTCCAAATTTGATATATTAATTGGATGTTTCAGCTCTTATGGCAAATCTCATGTCCAATTTTTGCCCCATCATACCAAATGCTTTTCCCATAGCAACTCACCAATCACAGGAGATCCCGAAATTGACCTTCATCTTTGGTACCACGCCATATGTAAAAAGCCACTGTGTAGTCAGACAAGCGCTGTTTGTTTGGAACTGCTCTGAATAGTTCCTGACATTTGCCACGGACATGGCAGACAGGAAATTGGTGCCCCATTTGTGAGCATGGTCCTGGAAGTCCTGCTGAACAGGGTAGAGCATGGGTGAAATTTCATCTTCCTCATGCCCACCTACTCAGAGATTGCCACCCGGTTAAAGCAGTCTGAGCCATCTGGAGAAATGCCCAGCTGTGCAGGAAGAAGGTCAATGTCCTTCTCCATTCTGCCAGCATAAGTACCACCATCTTCTCTCTGATAATTCACTCACTCTATACCTACCTCCCATCCAGGCTCGTGCCCAACCACTCTCACTAATGCACGCAAAATCTTCCTCACTCACTCTCACCCACCTTAACCTGTGACACCACTAATGCTACACACACTTTGCACACCCTGCTTCATTCGCTTGGGAAACTTCCCCAACTGCACCAACAGAAATAACTGTGCCACCCACTTTCATCTTCTGTACTAAGTTCCTCTCTCTCACTCCAGGAGCAAAACAGCCCAATTAAGGCAAAAAGAGTCAAGACAGGTGGCATGCTGCCTGTCATTCATCTTTTCATCGTTTATGTGGAGAGAATCCTGACTATGACCACCTAAGCAGGGCCTGGGCTAGTAATGAAGGCCGACCTCAATATACTGGGCCAGGAT